TCACCCATACACCCAAACAAGTCGTACACCATTTGAAATTTTTGGATCAAACAACACCTGGAAAATTTTTGTCACCCATACACCCAAACAAGTCGTACACCACTTGATATTTTTTAGATCAAACCACACCTGGTAAATTTTTTTCACCCAAACAAGTCGATGTAACTGAGCAAGCTTTTGCAAATGTTTCAATCCCATAATTATCGATATTGAAATTTCAGGTCAAGCCCCTGAAAACAAATGCAAGTCATTGTATGACAAGTACATTCTTACTCCATATATGATCTTTCTGCGGGACATCTTCAGCTATATGATATTGGTCATCCTTCACTTTGTTGTGTGCTTGCAAGAAACTGTTCTAGAATTCAACGTTGTAGAGTGGATCATAATGGTGTTCTTTCTTGGGCGTATTGCAATGGAGATTAATCAAATCGTGGAAGAGAAAACTATTTGGGTATACGTTAGGTATTGAATAATATTTATTCTCTGCTCTGCTGTACCGTGCTCTGCTGTACTGTGCTCTTCTCTGCTCTGCCGTGCTCTGTTGTGCTTTGCTCTGTTCTGCGCTGATTTTTGGAGGAAAAAGTCGCTTAAAGRACCATGTTCATCCAAGAGTCTTATGATGAATTTTCGTATTTGAAAAAATTGCGCAAAGGTCGTTCTTTGATCTACGTGGGCCTTTAAAGAGGGAAGCAGATACAAGTTCTCGCCTCTTTTTCCTTTTCTATCTCACCTTCACACGCAAAAAAAAACAGCTTAAAGACCATGCACATCCATTGTCCATTGAGATAGTTTCTTGTGTTTTACAAGTGATCATTTGTTAAAAGATGTTTCCTTTGTTARAATATAGMGTAAATGTTTTTGGATGCACATAGCTCTTAAGGTCTTCTGWTATATRWATATGCCGATTCAGCTGCATGAAGTAATGATTTGTTTTTTCAGCAATCCTTGGAACCTACTTGACATTCTTATGATATCCATCTACGTAGTTCTGTTCTTTGTGAGAGTTATCACGTGGGGACTCCAGACCTCTACCTATGAAAGCCGTCTAATTGCAGTAGGGGGGTATCTGTATGGTATCAATGCGATGTTCCTCACCCTTAGAGTTTGTGGTCAGATAYTGGAGTACAACAGATCTATTGGGACCATCCAAATCGCTCTTATAAAAATAACTGGCGCAATAATGGTGATAGCTTGTCAGCTTCTGGCAGCCTTGTTGGCATTCTCGTTTGCTATTACCAAGGTTTACTTGGYAGAGATGACTTACAGTGGTGTGAACAATGCAACATCACATGGGTAAGTGATAGCTATTCTATTGTCATCATGACTGCAGGGAGGGGTGCGAGGCTCTCAGGAGGTGGTGCACCCCCCCCCCCCCCCCCCAAAAAAAAATCATTACCAAGAAGATACAAAATCAGGAAAGTATTGAAGGATTCAGATCTCAGGGGGGGTGCGCACCCCCTACACCCACCAGCTGGATCCGCCCCTTGAGCGATGGTGATGGTGGTTTTGCTCCAAGACACGGTATCCGGAGCGTTCCTGGATTCCGTATGAAAACGTTTGCAAAGAGTCTGGATTCCACGTTATCAGATTGATATTACAAAGTGTCATTTATTACAATTAGGAAAYATTTGAAGTCAGCTATTTTGATTCTGAATTCTTCATCTTTTATCTGATTCCTCTTCTATTGCCGTGAATTCCGGATTTCAAGTTTATGGTTCCAGAACCAAAATTTTGTGGGATCCGGATTCCGTGTAAGTTTATGAACCTGTTATAAATGGCGTCGTTATAGTCAATCATTGTCCTTTATGTCTCATGTTTAATACTTTTGTCGTTCAATATATTTGTCCTTTCAGGCTATGCACCATGTCTGATAATAGTTTGTCATGGTAAGAAAAGTTTTTTTTTATGTTTCAATAATCAATACAACATACAGAATGCTTTGGTCATGTTTTGTGCAATCTCTTTAACAACCTCCACCGTTTGGTTGTCACTCTCTTAAAATCGAGTGCACATAAGTCATCAATAATTTTCTTGCGACACTAAGCGCGCTGGAAAACTCATCAATGTACCAATGTCAACTAGTTTTCATAGGAAGTACTGTGAAGTCTCAGCCCAACATTTTTTTCCAAATTATTTAGTTTTTTTTATATGACTATAATCAGAAGTGGTGTCATGATTTCAGTTGGTGGCTAAACTTCGAGTATCTTGCCTGGTCATTATTGGGATCCGGAGGGCCTGATGCGATGRCGTCCAAGGACGGTACCTCTGATGTCATCGCTAAAATTCTGTACATGTTATTCTTGCTGAACGCCGTGTTGCTGATTATGAACATGCTAATAGCCGTTCTTACCAATACTTATCAAAAAGTTGAGGTTAGTGTGGTCTTTATTAACTGCTACTATCATCATCTACATCGTAATTGATAATCAC